TTGAATGATTTGCAAACTGTAAAGAACTGTGATAAATATTATCATACCCCTCCGGAAGCACAAGGAGCAGTATAAATGAGCAATTTATGATTGACCAATTCTACTGGCCAGATAACAAGTCTGGAGACTGTCCAAAAGTAGGGAGAAAATGGGAATTAGCTTTTAAGTAAATGAAACAGCATGAAGGCGCTGCAGACCTAGACCAATGTTTTCCAAATTGTGGGTCATACAACCCATTAATGAGTTGTGAAATCAATTTAGTGGGCTGAAACCAGTGGGATTTCTAGTGAAATAAAATAGGACAATATCAGAATGTAATGCAGTTGCATCACTGTCAAGAAATTTGAAAGTCACTGACATACACTATTAGAAAGCTTAAGAAAGCTGTGCCCTCATTATAAATTTTAAAGATGCAGATATAGATAATAAAAATAGATATATTTTTATAAGGTTGACAAATAAAAACAAGGCAAAATTCATAAGAGAGAGTGTGTGTGTGTATATATATAATATATCCTACAGTTAGTCTCCCTAGTCACACCTCCAACCAAATTAATACAAAAACAACAAATGAAAATCTTCCTTAACATAATTTCGTGTAAAAACAAAAGTGAAGATGGGAGGAGGATAAGGAGACCAAAAAAACCAAACAACTGTTTAGATCACAGATCACAGGCAGTGTAAACATTCTGTTTTATGGGCTAATGAGTTCCAATGTGGTGTACTCTGCTCAGTTCTGGGTAGCATATACTAAGGGGTCCTCTGAGAGGAAAAGATAGAGACTCGCAGGACACAGAAGACCCTGAAAATAGAACACTATCCTGGGAATGCTTAGCCCAAAGAAGAACGAAGAGGTTTGTGGTTGCCGCCTTCAACCCAGATCACATCGCTCTCCTCATTACATTGAACCTTGTGAAAGCTTGCCACTGCACTTAGAATAAAATGTGAATTGCTCCTACATCCAGCCCTGTCTTTTCTTCACTCAGTTCCAGCAGACAGAGCTTATCCTGTATCCACCCTTTATATGAAATGCTCTTCAGTCTACCTGGGACATTATTTCATAGCTGCCCCTTTTACACCCTTTGCATCTCAGTTTAAATATCACCTTCTCAGAGGGGACTTGCTCCATCTCACCCTCTCCAAATTAGTTCCCCAACTGGCCATTTTCTGTCATATCACTAATAATTCATCTTAGTTTTTTGTTTGCTTTATTATCTATTTCCTCCCACCATAAGGTAAGCTCCCTGAGGACAAGGACTTGTCTTGCTCAGGCTACATTCCTCGTCTCTAGAATAGCACCCGCATATAATAGGTTTTTGAATCAATCAGTTCAGGCAGAATAAATAAATTGTACATGGAGAACTCCTTCTCCACTTCCCCCTTTCTTTTTCCGCACCTTCATCACTCCACCACCACCATAAGCAAGTGAACATTTATACGGCTTATTACAGTGTTAAGAAAACACTTGCATTCATTGTATTATTTGGTCAGGAATTGTTTAGGAGTTAAGGGACAACATAAGATGGTTATTACCTGCATTTCTAGTTTTATAAATCCAGACACTGAGTTTTAGAAAAGTTAATAAATGGTTTCATAAAGGTCCCACAGAGCATGCAAATCCCAGTGTTCATTCTTTCAGAAGAAAGCAAGAGGAAAAACATGGCTGGCACATCATAAGCTGGGGAGATACAGTCAGTCAATAATCAGAGTGGAAAGTTAGAGGACACCAAACTGTAAAGGGCGCTGAATGCCAGGTCAAGGACCTTGCATGACATTCTTCAGGCAACAGGGAACCAAGGAGGATTTTGAGGAAAGTAACAAAATCAGATAGTGTCTCTGAGGAAGATAACTCTAGTGGAAACATACAGAATGGATTATGAAGAAAAATATCAGAAACGAAAGAGGATAATCTCCTAGTCCAGATGTGAAATAATTATCGAGTAAGGAGGAGGGAATGAGGAATGGAAAGTATAGATATTTTGAGACAATGTATGTGGTGGTAGCAGGGAGGAAGAAGAAAAACAGGTGAAGACCTGTTAGGATATTTTTCAGTTTTGAAGATCTGAACATAGTTTGAACATGTAACAATATCAGATTTAGTATTTGTAATTCTCAATCCTTATAATAAAGGAATTACTACTATGCTGTCATACTTTTAAGAATTGGTTCTGAAAATTAGTTGGAAATGTGGCCACCTATACAATTTTATTTGCTACAGAAGACAGAACTACAGGTTTTATTGTATGTTGATTTATCATGGAATCAAAAGATAAAAATAAGAGACACCAAATGAACAGACAATTGAAAATGCAAAGACTTGCCAATCTCTTAAGGATTGTTAAATACAAAAATAGTTTTTGGAAGTGCACAATCCTATTAATGAATTAAAATAAGTTAAAACCGTATCTTGATTTTTCAACAAAAATATATTTTGAAAATATAAATGCGTAAGACGTTTTTAAAATCCTACATATCTTTGCATTTTAAAATTAAATTCCTGAAAATACCTCCTTCCCAAAGTTAAAAGAAATTTGGCTCCAGTACAAACTTTGTTTAAAGTAAACTTATGTAGATTTTTCCTTATGAACTACATAGAGATCTCATTTATTTATAGGTTCACTGAAATGTATACCTGCTCTATGGATGAATCATGCCCTATAGATTATATCCTCAGTAAAATTAAAAAATGAATCAACATACCATAAAATCTATAGTTCTTTTGTGTTTTCTATAAGCAAAATAAATTTGCATAGGTCACCACTTTTTCAATTACTTTGCAGTGCCATCTCTGAGAAGAAAACTTAAATTTGCTCTTAAAAATATATGACAACATAGAGTAATACAATTAAAAATTAGGGTCAATTTGTCATCAAGAATGTCTGTCAGGATTTCTATCCTTGCTATTTTATATATAGTATGTTAGCAGAGAATTTTTCTTGATTCTTCTAAGTAGGATTTTTATGGGGTCCAAAGAGCCTTAGTAGACTTGAGTCCAAATTTTAATTATTTGTATATAATGTACTGTGCTTAATGAACTTTAGTTTTAAACAATCATAATCTTCAGTTCACAGAGAAGACAAGAAGGGATAAAGGAAATTTTCTTATTTTAAGGATATATTTTTTTCTCAAAATAATATGTAAAACAAAAAATACTTGTGAAAAAAATTAATATTCTATGATTCATCCATTAAGAAAACAGTCTTATTTCTATTTTTTCACTGCTGTATTTCAGGTACGTCTTAGAATGCTTAGTAATTATGGGCATGAGCATATATTTTATTTATTTATAATGTGTATATATACACACATTTATATATATAACAATATATTATATATTATATAAATATACATAATGTTTATATATTACATATATATAATTACATGACCCTAGGTGAGTTGGTTTTGATAAAACTTGGTATTAGAAACTCATAATGAATTATTAAATCTATTAAAATTAATTTTACTCCATAATTTCTACTAGCATATCACCTCAATTTGGAGATGCATATATGTTCTTAAATTCTGTTTAGAACTTTTACAAGAGGCAGTTATCAGGCAAATCAAGAAAAACGAAACTGAGTTTCATGTAACACTGGATCCTTCGGGCTGGATGACTACAGCAGGCTCAGAGACAGTCTGCAAAGCAGCATGTAAACAACACACGTGTGTGCATGAGCAGGGGAATGTGCAGGTGTGTGTATGTAATTGTAGCCTGGCATTTCTATCTAAACTAGTGACAGAATGCTTTTATGACATTCTTCTATTCAGATGAGTAACATAAAGTGAAAACGTTGTCTACTACTGACAAATGGCACTGGCTTGAAACAGTCTAAGGTTTGTTTTCTCTATAGAAATCCTCCACTCTCAACTTTCCCAATAAAACTTTATTAAAGTGCTGGGCAAATTATATGCATTTCTTATGGAATTTCATGTCAAATTTCTTTATTCAGGAAAAATTACAATGCTCTATAAAAATAAATGTGAAGTGAAAGGAGAAAAAACTATGTTATTCAGCATCAGTGCGAAATTTCATTTTCTCAAAATACTTGACAAAATTGAAATCCCGTTAAAAATGCAAAGCGTTATCTTTCCAACACTCTTGAAATTAGGATACAATATTTTGTAATTCAGCGAATACTGAGTACTTATTTACGTTTCAGGTACTGTTTTAGAAACATAGAAACATTCGATGACAGGTTCAAGGCCACACAGAACCTTAGGTAACAAAGCCGGGAAAACTTAAAAACTCTAGTCAATTAATTCAGATGTTCATTTCACTACTTTGTTATTTAGTATAACTCATTTATTCCTCATCAGGACGTTTAAAAGGTTTTTATTTCATATCTCAAAACAATTTTATAAAAAAAAATAGCTTCCAATGAAATTATGACACCAAAGATGAGCACCATTAAATCAAAGCCAACTTATTTTTAACATAACTTTTACTTAATTCTGATTGTCACCATTTGATCTAAGTCCTGTATTTACAAGGAGAATATATGATTTGAGGAGTTTTAAGATAAGCCCTATCACTCCTTTTAAGTTACCCAATTTAAAAATTATCTCTTTTAGTAATTTCTATTATTTCTAAACAACACCACTCAAAACCATATATGTTATTTTAATAAATAAAAATTTACAAACTACTATTGTATTTTTAAATGGTCCGGTGAAGTCTTCCAAGAGACAGCTTAATCACCATATTATCTATTATTAAATGTAGAATAAAAGGACTTTTCTATGGCAATAGTTACACCAGATTTATCAGTATTTTTTTTTTTACTCAATGTCTGCCTGAGGTCAAGTTAACAGAAGTATCCAACTGTCATATTAGAGGAAACCTTACACCTAATAGAGAGTTGCAGGCATCTGTTCAGGACCTGGTGATTTTCAAAATAGTTTTATTAAGAATGTAAGAGCTGGCATGTAATTGGTACACCTCTTATCTTCTAATGACACATACGCAAAGTAACTGAATGAAATTATATTGTGTCTCTTACCTAAAGAATGTGCAGCTGTGGTTTTTGAGCTGAAAAACCGGCCAAGCCCAAGATCTCCAAGTTTTACCACCCCAGTGGCTGTAATGAACACATTAGCTGGTTTTATATCTGTGAATAAAGGAAGGGATCAGGTAAAAGATGATAGACATTTTAGAAATTTTAAAGGAATTAAGAACTACTTTTCATGATAGAATTTAAAATTTATTTTAATCATGAAAGTTTGAATTATGGACCAATTAGTTTATTTTGAATAATTCTGATATATCCTAATACCTAGAAGTTCTCGATTCTCTGATAGACAGCTAATCATCAATGTACTATGATGAATGTGATTATTAATTTCTATTTCAAATGCATTTTGTTTTCCATTCTCAAAAAACCTGTGAAATTCAAAGTACAAAATACACGTGTCCTTTTGATATCAATTTTAAATAAAATATCTTACTAAAGATTAACATATTGGTAGATTTGCATAAAATATAAAACCACAACACTATTAGGCATATAATTATTTACTTAGATGGCTTTAAAAATCTTAATTGCATAAATGAATTGTATTAAAATTTTTCACACTTCAGTATCAGTGGATCAATTACTCATTGATGTAATCTTAACATACTCTGCTCAACCACTTGACTGATAAGAATGCTGAGCTAATACTGAATATTAAAAATCTAAGTGGTTATGATATACATTGTTTAACTGAAGAAACAAAAAACTCTTCCTTAAATATATTTGATTGCTGTCTTCTCTTTACCAACAGCATCTTACTGGTTTGTAAGATGCTCCTAAGAGTCAAGCAGAAGATTAATTTACATTCTTATTTAAAATCAAGTAGTGCTTTATTTAAAGGTTTAACATTCTAGCACAATTATAATTTGAAAATAATTACCTGAAAAAGTATGGTATTACGTAATGACTGGAAGACATTTACTTTAAAGAACTTATATCATTTAAAACAAGATTAAAAGTTCTTAATGATTTTATCTTACCTCTATGCATGACTCTTCGAGAATGCATGTGTTCCAATGCACTGCAAAGCTGAACAAAGTACTTCCAAACAGTTCTTTCAGGAATTAGCCTCTTTTGCTTCTTAAAATGCTTTTTGAAAATTAAAAATAAGAATTATAAAATCTAAAATTTCTCAAGACTGGATTCTGATAGGAAAAAAATCTGTAAGTCAGAAAAACACCTAATTTTATCTACCATTATCAGCTGAAAAGCATATGATCTTTATACTGAAATGATTCCAAGAATTTTATCTGACATAATGGCTTAAGTTTCTTCCTATTATAACGAAGGTTGGCGGAAACTGTGTAACGGTACATTTTTGTGACGTCCCACTATTTCAAAAAATTAACATCTAAAACAATTTCTTGTCTTAAAAGGAAGATGTCAAATTTGATTTTAAGAAGAGCCAGAATAAAAGAGTCTAGATACCTGTAGGTAATTACATTCATTAAAAGACAATTCTTCTCCTGGCAGAAGGTTTCACTACAGAATTCCTTTTAAATACTGAACCACCCTGGTGATTTGAAATATCACAATTTATTAAAAGTTAAATAAATAAAAGGAATTTATGTAGAAAGTTTTCATGAATATTTCTACTGTACAATGCAAGTCAAACTTGTACTCTGCTTTGAATGAATGAAACTAAACTCCACGGAAGAAAAACCTTACAGGAATGCCCAGGCAAAAAGCTGACAGCACCAACAGGCTACTTAGGAGGGGGGTCCTTGCACATAAGAGGGCAAATACTACAATAATTGTAAAACCAGAGGTACTTATTTATGCTCATTTTTTCTACAATAAATCTGCTAGAAGACTACACTAATAATATACTACTTCAAGGACAAAGTTCTTAGCTTTGTAAGACTTACAAAGATTCAATACATAAAAATTATTTTTCAAAAACAAAATGCAAGTGGTTTCCCATTTAACAATACTTATAAATAACCAACATGAATACTGCATTTTAATTGGTTTTCATAAAATTTTCTAATAATTTTAACTGTTTAAAAATATCTATATTAAAATTTAAATATGTACTTTAATGCAATTTATCCAAAGATATCCAAAGATATTTTGAGAAGTCCAACTAAATTGATTTTTTGTTATTGAATATGGAGGTACTATACTTGAGAAAATTCTAAAACAGCTACCTTTCAGTTTTTACACCAGTGACCAGCTGAGGGCAGGCTGAATGGAAAAACAGTACAGGAAATCCGCTGATATCCCTACTTCATACTGAGCAAAAAATTATATCTACTGTCTCATATGTACTCAACGTATGAACCAAAGGATAAATCTTTAAGGAAAAGCTAATAATCTTAGGTTAATCTTTCTTATAACACATACTACAGAAATAAATTTATTAGCAATTTCAATAGCTATTACATCAGTAACATTCTATCCCAAAGAATAAAAAACAATTAGATGACCAGGTAATTAAAAAGCAAATCAGGGTCTTACTAAAATGTTAGAAACCTCCCATATCATGTTTCAAGACTACGTCTTTTTAATTGCAGACTGTGTCAACATCAGTTTTCATTCAAAGGGGGTAATGTTGCAAAATCAGTTCTTTACACATAATTTTCTTTCAGACTTGGAATGAGTCCAAATAAACCCTGTATATATGTGCTCTCCCTGATGCTGGATTAGCATATCAGAGGACTGTTTGATGTCAACAGGAAGATGGGGACCAGGTTTCTTTTCATTCAAAAATAAATATACCATATCATGTACATATCAGACCATGAAAACAAATTTTTATGCTTTAATACAGATTTTGAAATCATCATAATTATAATGTAGTTGGAAGTTTACTTTTTAAATACCATTATAAAAAAGAAATCAAGTCTAAAAGAAAAGGCATAATTTAAAAATTGCCCCCAAATTGCACAATAGGGAAGACATTACCGGACCAAGATGATCTGATTATTTTCATGTTTTTGTATTCTTTGAGACTGTAGCTTACAAGTTAAAACTGATGACAATAAGCTGAATTCAATATAATACTACTCAGAATGACCTGGTAAGAGTTAAGTATCCAAATTAGTTATAGGCCTTTGAAGAATAACATGAATTTGATTTTTTCATAAAATAAAGGCAGTTTCATTAGGCCATTAGTATCTCTCATTATTTTTAATAAATGTCTGCTTAAACATATGTGGTTTTTAAACCATTCCTTAAGTATAGGGTTTTTTGGGTTTTGTTTTTTTGTTGTTTTTCGAGAAAACCAACACCTAAAATGAGAAGAGCCTGTCTGTTCTGATGGTGGCACTGTTGGCTATCTCTTAAAAGAGGATGAACGGCAAAAAGGCAAGGAAAATTTGAATTCTTTTTACTATGGGTAAAACGTATATTAGCACTACAAAATAGGAACTTCTATAAAGCCAAAGAAATAAAAAAAAAGAAAGAACAACCTCTTAAAATTTATTCTAATAAACACATATCTTCTTAAAAGTTAATCATCCAGCCAATGAGCATTATTGTTTGAAAATCCTGTTTTCCCTTGAAAAAAGGCAGCTCTATATAAATGGTTAGCTCTGATTAAAAAAAAAAAAAATCTAATGCCAACATGTAAAAAGTAAAAATGTACATATATTTGTTATATAGCAAGTTTTTAATATAGCAATAAATAATGTAACCAATACATCTAAAAGTTGGAACTAATATAAATATTTATAAGAAAATGAAAGAATATGTGCCAGGGTGCTTTTACCATATTTATGCTATGAAATAGAATTGCAACTTTTCTTGTAGTTGAAAATAAAGTATCCAAAAATTTATGGGCAGGCAAAAATCAACACCCATATACACCTGATAATTTGGACATAATTTTGTTTAGTCTTTTTTTTTTTAAGTAGGCTAGTCTTTTCTCTATGCAAATTTTCAAATACTAGTTACTTTAAAAGCACCTTTTCTACTGCTATCAAAATTATTCAAATAAATACTGGATATTATTCAAATAGAAAAATCAGATGTGACAAAAAGTTAATCAATTTACATACAAAATATATGTATATACAAACATCAGATTATATTATTTCTGACTTATGTGTAAGATTACCAACATTTCACTTAGGTGAAATTCAGCATTATCTGGTAAAATCCATCTGCATCACCATCTAAGTGATTTATATTAATATAAAAAGAGCTACAGCTGATCCCAGCTGTTTCCTTTCAAAGATTTTGGGAAAATAGTCACATCTTAATAGATACACTCTTTTTAAAATTATTAATCTCCAAACACCCTACTACAAATTAAACAACCAAGATCAAATCCAATTACATAGTGGACACTGAATATCTAAGTACCATTTTTGAACTCCATTGGGTAACTTGGTTCCTGCATTCTAGACATTACAACTCCAAGTAGAATATACACTGTTTATTTCTGAGTTATAGAATTATAATATTCTTCCTCAAGAAATCTCAGGAAAAGCTTCAATGATATTACCCAGCATAACCTCATCAACAGAGAAAGAATAGAAAATGATCTTATTTTACAAAAAAATTATTATTCTCTGTGGCATATCAAAACATTTAAGCATACAGTTTGACATGTTAATCTTTAAAAAAGAAAATTTCAGGCAAAATATCTGGAACTATTAGGGTCAGCTTCATGGGCAGGAAACCTGTATTATGCAGGTCTGGCACTTGGTTTAAAGCCCTGTTACTGCCGTTTTAAAAATTTTTAATATTTAACAAAGGGACTTGCAATTGTGTAGCCAATCCAGAGAATCATACACTAAGCATCCTTTAGAAATGTACTGCTGTGTTTAAAAAATATAAAAAACAAAACAAAACAAAATGCAATTCTGGTGTGCAAGGTGTGTTTGAAGAGGATTAGGAAAAATGTTAATTAAATGATGAGAAATAATGAAGTTATAAGAGAACTGGAATTACAGGCACCAGCTGCTCTCCATTTCTTTCAAGTATCTAGTAAGAGGAAGTAAGTGATTTATGTTAAATATAAGGAAGCATTTCCTGCTTGGAGTGTTGTCAAATGTTTAAATGTGCCACTAACACAATCCATATCCATCTTATAATAATAGACTTGATTATAAGGTTTGACAGTAACTGGTTGTGTGACCTTGAACAAACCATTTAACCTTGATGGGTCTCAGCTTCCTAGTTTGGAGATGATCTATGAAGTCTCCACCACTTCTGAAATATAATCTGTGGGTCTACAGTCTTAGTTTCAAATGAAACAGAAATAATAAATGTCTGTTTGGCACATTTCATACTTAAAAATAATAGTTTCCTGGCATGCCTTATCCTTCATATATCCAATTAGTAACAACAAAAAAACTCAGAGATTCCTACTGGTCCATTTAATACTATAAAAGGTCTTAACATGAGATGACAAGGAGTTCTTTGCTATAAGCTTGTAATTAGGTCAAACATTTACCATCAGAGGGGATGTTCCCAAACACAGCATTGCAATTATAATGCAATTTTATAAGACTATATTTTGTCGTGGTTATTTCAAAGAATCAAATGCACAGATACTGGGTGATGAAAAAGGATGCTTCTGGAAGTATAATGGGCAGTTCTAAGTGTGATTTTTTAATTAATCTTTCTATGGAAACATTTTTCTTTGGAAGGTACAATGAGTTATCAACAAACTAAACTTTACAAATATTTGCTATATACAATTGTGGGAAATTACATAAAATTAAAATTTTGGCATGTAATACTAATTTACAGTGCATAAGTATTTTCTCTCTTGGCACACTGAATAAAATTCAGATACCTTAAGTTGCATTAGAAGGTGTAAAGTAGAATGGGCCTTACAGTCATGAGATCACTGAGAATACTTATCACTAGCATCTTTTTATCTTCTTATCCAAGGTCTACCAGTCTTTGTCTTTTCCTGTAATGTTTGAAAACCTATTAAGAGTGCTAAGCTGTTTTTAGATTATAATAGAATATAAATATAATCAATTGATTCCCAAAAGTTAAAATTATGCAGGTTATTAATGCAAGCCAAAAATATATTTCATCTTAGGGTAGAAAATGTGAAACAGAAAATATTTTTTCGGGAGCAATTACACCTTGAGGGGAAAAAAACCTCTTAAATTATTTAGCAAACA